CCCTCCCTCCCTCCCTCCCTCTTCTTCCTTTTTTTTTTTTTTTTTGTCTTAGTAAGATTCTTCCCACTGTGGCCAATGTTGCTTCATCCTCAATGATTAATGTTTTATTCTGTGGGAGCTATTTATTTAGGTTTGAAAGATATAATGATTCTCAGGAGGTGGGAAAGAGGAGGGAAGAAATAGATATATTGTATGTGTTGTCCTATGTTTGGCATACCAACATCCATAAAGCAATCTCCTCTCCAGAGTTTCCTCTTTTAGAAAGTTCAGATATGATAACCTTAAGGGAAACCAATCAGTTCTGTATACCCATAGAGGATTGGATCAGAATGAAAATATGCTATTTTTTAACAGTCAGTGAAATTTACTCACCTTTTTATTAATTATATTAACCACAGTTTCCTAATCTGTTACCCTTGTATGTATAAATATTGAATATGGATGTCTCTCTGTGATGTGTACATGTGTCTATTACATCATTTTTGTTCTGCAAAAATAATGATGTTTTAAAATCCTATTTATGCCTATTCCAAATTTCTGTTGAATCATTGGGGCTTACTATCAGGCTGCTTTTCATTGTACAATGATTCTGTTATACATTGATTTGATTCATTAGAAGCCTTCATGGCAATGTAAAAAGATGTTTATTTTCTGGATTAGTTTGACATTTTTCTCAGTTTTTCTCAGTTTACAACAGACCCATTCAAATATTTTAATTTTCTGTTTTCACAATGCACAGCAGCTAACATTCAAAGGAGTGGGATTCTAGAGTGCTTTCACTTATTTCACTAGGTGATCATTGCAAGAAACCCAAACAAGGACATTGCTTGTTCTCAAGCTCTGCAATTGAATAGTGAATTGAGCAAGGAGATGCAGATAGTCCCTCTTAAAGAAGATAGTATCTGCATCCTTTGTTTAACATGACAAATGAGATGTGATAAAATGTGAGTCCTACTCCCTGTTTTAGAACTTCACGAAACATGCAGAAGTGCTATAAAATTATCAGAATATATCAGCAATTCAGAATTGCTCAAACTTTCCACATTAGAATTTCAAAATCTCTGCTATATGATGTAAGCAATATTAATCATTCTGAAATGGAGTTAAGGGTCCAAGAAGGCCAGTGGATTCTTCTGTTGAGGCTGTGTGCCATTAGTAATTCATTATCATCTTTTCATTTTTTATTTTATTTGGAATTTGCTCATAAAAACAAGACAAAGGATCCACAGTCTTAAGTCCCATTAATATCCAAAGTTGCAGATGAGTCGGACATTAAGACTTTGACTGATCCGACTGATTATACCAGAATTCTGGTATGTGGTTGGCAAGCTTAGGGAGAACATGATCTAAAAGGCATTTCTAAAAGGCATTCTAATTCTAGAATTCTTACTGTTAAAAAGTCTTTTATATAAGTGAATCAGATTATAACTACATTACTCCATGTAAAATCTTCATTACTAATTTAAAAATATATGCTAATAGCAAATGCTAGGTTTTCTTTTTTTAGAAAACTAAAAGTATTCACAAACATTTTAGTAAATATTTAAATTTAGTATTTAAAAGGCCAGTGGTTTAAAACACTACAGTCTAAGAATGCAGTATGTGCTTTTAGTTTTTTTCAATATTAAAAAACTAGACTCAGAAAATTATGCAAATTTCTGTTGTCCAGCTTATGTAGGATAAGATTGTTTCTCATTAAAATTTATTATTCTTTCTTCTTTTTCATTTTAGTTCATCTGGTTTTTCTTCCAAAACTGGAGAATAATAAAGCAAAGGAATATACCATAGATTTCTATGGGACCAAATTGGTGTATTTCAACAAAATAGACACCCCTGCAGCACATATTTTGGTACTAAATAGTTTATTGATGTCCATCAGAATCAGTAGAAAAATGGTCTTAAGTGCCTTCCAGAAGGGTAGGGACCATGTGTACTTCTTGAGGTAATTATTCAACAGTCCAGGGGGTACTAGCAAAAAGACCTGCCTTTTGGTCCATGCTACTCTAACTTCTCCTGGGGGTGGAGACTTCAGCAAGCCCTCTCTAGTAGCAGAGTCATATTTAGCAATGTGGTTCCCTAATATAAACTGGTGTCAAGTTGCATAGAGCTTTATAGATAAAAACCTGTGCTTTGAATTGGGATCAGAAACCTCCTTGCAGCCAAGGTACCAAATGTAAGATTGATAAGACTGTTATCACCAGCTAGAAGTCTGGCTGCCACATTCTGCACCAACTGCAATTTCCAAGTCAATAACCATCTACAACGTTTGTTTATTTGTGGAACGTCCTATGTTCTCTTTGCTGTAATGTACTGTAAATAGGGGTGGCCTTGAAAGAAAAGTGTTTAGGAACTTCAATTAGTGCAAAACCTATCTGGCTTGCAGTTTAGAGATCATATATCAGGAATCCAATCATCTTGAATGAGTAAACTTTAGTGGCTTCTTATTTGTTCCCAAGACAAAGTTTTGACCAATGAACATCTAAATGGCTTAGGGCCAAGATTTCTTTCTTAGGAGCTGGCCCATAATGTATGTTATTCATCATAGACATGTTTATATTTCATACAGCTAAAACAAGCTAGCTTTGTGGTTACACAAAATGATGGTTCTTTGATAGCAGCAACCTGTTTTTGGAACTTCAGTTTTGCTGAGTAAAAGCTATATAATTTTCAGGAATTGGGTAGCCTTTGAAATGTTTTACAATTATTTTGGCTTGTTTTAAGAAAGGGTTTGCTTT